CTGTGTTGAGAGTGTGCATGAGTATTGTGTGAATGTGTAGCCTAGTTGGGCAACAATATCTACAGCAACATGAGTACTATTTAGGGAGGTGTCTTAGAAGAACTTTTGTTTAGAAATGTTGCACATACCTCTCAAGTTATTATTGTATGGAAAACAGGAGGATTAGTACTATATATATATATATATATATATATATATATATATATATATATATATATATGCATGCTATCTTGAATTCCTGAACCCAAAGTAAGATATAAATCTAAGAAACAGATTAACAAATAAAACAAATTAAAATAGATTCTATAAACAGTTCCAGGGTGCTGTTAAAATCAAACAGTACCTGTGTGTCTCCCTACAGCAGGGGTAGGCAACCCAAAACACTCAAAGAGCCACTTGGACCCATGTCCCACCGAAAACAAAATACTGGGAGCCACAAAACCCTTTGAATATCTAAAATGAAGATAACACTGCATATATCCTTTTTTACCTTGTGTGTGTGTGTGTGTATAGGTCTTTGGTTGTTTGGGTTTTCTCCCGCGTAAAATTGGAAGTGTCTTGGCGACGTTTCGACGAAGTCCCATTCGTCATCTTCAGGATGGTGTTTTCAGCTTCGTGCTTCGAGCAGCAATGTGTGATCATAGCTGTTTCGTGCTGCTCGAAGTACGAAGCTGAAAACACCAGCCTGAAGATGGCGAATGGGACTTTGTCGAAACGTCGCCAAGACACTTCCAATTTTACGCGGGAGAAAACCCAAACAACCAAAGACCTACATACAAACACCCGCGAAAGCCTCAGAAAACAAATATATATATATATATATATATATATATATATATATATATATATATATATGTAGGTCTATAAATATATATATACACACACACACACACACACACACACACACACACATACATACATATGTAGGTCTTTGGTTATTTGGGTTTTCTCCTGCGTAAAATTGGAAGTGTCTTGGCGACGTTTCGACGAAGTCCCATTCGTCATCTTCAGGCTGGTGTTTTCGGCTTTGTGTTTCTAGGAGCAATGTGTGATCATAGCTGTTTCTTCCTTTTAACTGCCAGTGGGGATATGAACTGATTGGGTGGGAGCTTGGCTGCATTCTGACTGGGTGGAGGTGTGTTCTGATTGGTTAGGGGCTTGGCTGTGCTCTGATTGGATGGGGGCTGGCTATGCTCTGATTGGATGGGGGAGTGTTCTGTTTGGGTGGGGGCTTTATTGTGCACAAACAGAAAAATATCCACCATCCTAAGAAACCCCAAAGAAAAATTGAGTGTGAAAATCAAGGAGTATATGAAATCCCATGCACTGCTTGCCCCACCACATACATCGGACAAACCAACAGAAGAATAAGTGCATGCATTGAAGAACACAAAAACTCAGTCAAAAAAGAGGAACCAACTTCTTCCCTGGTCCAACACCTTAAAGCCACAGGACATGAAATTGACTTTAAAAAGACCAGAACTATCGCCAAAACTGAACACTTTAGTAACAGAATAATCAGAGAAGCCATTGAGATAGAAAAACGCCCACACAGCATGAACAAACGAGATGATACCTCCCGCCTACCAGCCATTTGGAAACCCGCCCTTATTGACAAACGAGTCCCTAACATAAAGAATGACACCAGATCCACACACATGAAAACCACACAGGATGTCACCACCACACATCCACGCAAAAAGCAAACCCAAACCCACACCGATGATGAGGCACGACCACAAACCAGAAGCCAGATCATAGCTGCATCATTAGCCACTTTAAACCCCTCCAATCCATACATGAAGCAAACTGACACCCACCATGAAGATGGGGCACGACCACGAACTCAAAGCCAAACAGCAATTTAATAAACTGAGAAAATGAAATTGGTTCTAAGAATATAATCCTTGGCATTCCTATAAACATAGGAACAATTATAATTAGCACCTGAAGGCTGCAATCATACACACCATAGGGAGTAAGTCCCAGTGAAGTCAGTTGGACTGACTTTCAAGAAAACATACAGAGGTCTATGCTGCGCACCTGAAATTTTACACATATTTACTTTAAAGTAACTCCCATTAAAAGCAGCAAAGTTTACTTTAAAACACTGATGCAGAGGACTGGGACGAAATATTCAAAGTATACATATTTATCATCTAAATAAATATGGCTTTAGGTTCCTAGCACACACTCAAAATTTAAAAATTTCAGGATCAATTGTATGATTTTTTAAAAAATGAATTTTACTTGTTTCCACTAGTTTCCTGCATATTTGAATAACAGTGATTCAAAAGGAAATTTGTTATGGAGCACAAAGACCAAATGAGGCAATGAAAGCCTTCTAAACATGCATGTCTGTTATACATCTAAAATTACAGGTACAGTACAGGCTGTTATGACCTTACTTTCAATTCATGTTTATGGTTAGGAGGAAACAAAAGTTTAAGTAAGATGATAGAGGAGTCACATCTGTGAGAGGTCTCCAGAGAAATATTAGCAATAATTCAACATCACCTAGGATATTTTTGATGCTAAATGTTTTGATTATCCAGATCTCTGTGCCCTAAGTCAAACAGATTCTCACAAAATATAGTAGAAGCTATGTTCAGCTTTAAGACTTTTCCAAATTGGTGGGGTTTTTTTCAGAACCACACCTCCTGTCAACCACATGTAGCATAAACATTTAATGTGCATCTGGAGGGCACCAGTTGGGTAGGTTGCTATAAACCCATAAAGGAAAATAAGGAAATGTCAAGGACAGGAAAAATCACAGCTACAATTATTTCTATACCAGTCATCACTGCTGGACTATGATCAAGTCAGGAGAAGATAGATCCAGGTCAAATTGCTAAATAAGATTCAAAATTTATTTTTCTAGCATATGTGTTATATGAGGTAACTAGAACTGACTGCAAATATCTGGACCATGGTAGGTCTACAGGTTATTGCCAAGTCAATAATTTCTTTACTAAACTTCAATGAGTGGCTGAATAAATCTGAAGGTTCACTTACTATGATATGGTTATGATGAAATTAATTATAAGGGTGGGCAACCCAATAAAATGATTATTTCCTTAGAAAATTATAATTTTAGAGACCTGGATGTCCAAAAAAACCCAGATATCCAACAATCAAAGATTATTCTTTACTAAGGACACTGAATTATCTCACAGTACATATCAACTATAATTTGAGAAGAGTCTAGGCTGACTCCTGCAAAGCATTAACAATACAGACACTAAGATTCAGTGTGCCATCTTATCAAGATTTGCTAAAGGATACATACTCTACTATATCACATCAGTAACATCTGCAGAGGAACATATTAAAATTTACAGGATGGTGGGCACAGCGATTACCTCTTTTGTACATGAGTGATATTGCACATGTGTACAAAGTTGGCAGTGCTTCTACCATACCATGACATCCACCACCTTGCATAGTTTGACTTTGATAGAGAATCTGAGTGAAGGGTCTTCGAAAGGCCCAAACTTTAAGAAGAAATACCTAGCTTAGCTGCAGAAATAAACAGAATAACAGGAAAGTACCTGCAGTTCCAAGAACCTATAGCATAACCACAACTCGCACATAAGGCAACTGACCATGCTTAATGATATTAAATATTAACTGACACACTTTGCATATATCATCTGCTAATTATAATGCACATGCGACACATGATTTAGTATGTTTGGGGAGGTTCTGAGGAAACATATAAAAAGCGGTCAGAAATAGTGTAACCTCACAGTACCGCAGCCAATGGGGAATGAGGACGGATGTGGCAGAGAGAATAGTTTGCGTTGGAACTTTGGAGAGAACCAAGCTATAATAGCTTCTCCCCATTTGTTGCAAACAAAAGATCTTCACTGTGTCTTGGCTGGTTATTGGTCAGGCGAGTTTGCCACTGATTGTGAAGGAAAGTGGCCAGGAGCACATAACAACTCCCTGAGGAAAGCTTATGAAACACACTTTTTCTCTTTCCATAGTAATTACATTCATTGGATTGGGAAAAAATATTTATAATATAAAATAAATATAAAATAAATAAATATTTATTTATGTTACCTCAAGGCAACTCTAAATCTAAATGTGATTCAATGTTTACTAAGTATAAGATTACATCTCATCAAACAAGTTTATTAAAATAAACACATAAGAAAAATAGTCTATTTAAATAAAAATTCATATTCAAATTATCAGGTTTCTGAATCAGGTGGTCAATCCAACTGATATTTAATTTAGTAGATGGAACAATAAAGCATACAATGGGCCAGAACACACAGTTGTAGTTGAACAGTGCTTCAACTACGATTGGTTGGCGAGCGCTGGCTCATGCATGAGGCAATCTATGCTATGATTGGTTGCTGTGGGTGTAAAGAGGGAGCTTCCCCCTTTTCAGCCTTTTCATTCTGTGTGCTCAGTATGCTGTTTAGATTTACCTCAGTTACCTCACGATGTTCACCTGACTATCTTGTCTACTGTAAATATAAATGTTAAATATATTTATTTATATAAAACTACAGGTTTGTGTCAGTGTCTCTGACTTCATTTGAACACTTGCTGTGCAATTCTCTGACAGATTCTCTATCCAGCAAAGCAAAGATACTTAGTCAGGAATAGCTCCCTTCATGATTTCATGGAATCCAGACTGTTGGTCCCCATTTTTTGAATGAAGCCTTCCAATCGCTTTTGCTAATTTTGCCTTGACCTTCATCACTGGCGAGGAGGGGGGGGAGAGGACATTCAGAGCCTTCCTCATCTTAGGTTTTATCCAAGTAGCTTACAAAACCATTTCACCTTCCATAACTATCCATTCATTACTTTGCATAACGGGTCTTAGATGTATATTCAAACCAGATCCATGGTAGTCAACCCATACATAAGCTGTTCTTAAACATCCTACTATATACCTATGTATCTTAGCTTAGGAAAGAGTAAAACTGACACTATACGGATATGTAGCGGGGCTTCAGGAGCCCAGTGGAAACGCCACTCACTTTCTATCCATTCTCCAAAGCAGCACCAAATTTCAGAGGCACATCATTTCCATCCTTCAAGGCACCAGTAATCCTCCAACTGGGTGTGTGTGGGTGTGGGTGTCTCGTTGGTCTGCAGGCTTTTCCTCCAGGCAGAGCCAGAGGCTCCCTGGCCCAAGCCTCAAATTCTCTCCACAGCACTCTCTCCACAACTGGGAGTGCAAAAAGAAACAAAGAGAAAGAGAGAGACAAGGAGAGAGAGAGATCAATTAGTATAAACTTTTCTACTTCTGGAGATAAGCGAAATCAGCATCCAGGACTCCGAATCCCTTCCTTGGGTAGAGCCTTAAATGGCCGGGAAGTTAAGAAACAACAGAAAAGGCAGGAAGGAAAGGAGGGAGAGAGGGAGGAAAATCCGCTTGGGCTTCCTTTGCCTGAATCGTTTTTTTCTTCTGCTATTCCCACGCCTGACTTGCTGTTTCCCACCAGGGACAGAGCAGCCCCGCTAAGGGACGGACAAGCGAGGGCCAGCAAGCCGTCAGAGAGAGAGACTCCAACAGCATCGCGCCTCCTTTCCCGTTCGCTGCAATTAAAAGCGTTAAGAGTGGAGAGTGGGCCTTTCCCTCATTCCCGTTCGTTTTTTTCAACCCCAGGTTCTTTCCTTTCTCCCGCCCGCTTCCCACAACCTGCCTCTGGGCTCCTTTGAAGCTCGCCGGCTTGAGGCGCCACCTACCCGCCTGGCCAAGCAGGGCTCCAACGATGCAAAGAGGCGAGCTCCGGCACGGCCAGCCACCCCGGAGGCCAAATTTTCCAAGATAGGACGGCGGGGAGTCCTTTCCGAGGCTGGTTCCTCTATCGGGGACGAAAAGAACGGGGCGGCGAGAGTCACTTTCAAAGGGCGAGCGCGCCACTTCACCCTAGCGCCTCTGCCTTGGCGACCGAGGAAAGGAGCAGGAGCAGGAGCGGGGCGGAGGGGGGAAGGCGGCTTCCTGCAAAGCGTCCCCTCCTCAGCGTTGCAGCAGCAGCCACCGCCGCCGCCGATCCTGAAGAACTGAGGTTCGGCCCCCAAAAGCTCGCCTTCGCTTCTCTGCCCCCGCTTCACGTGGGACCGCCCCCGAGGCCTGGGAGGAGAAAAACAAGCCTCCTCAGGGAGGCTGAGGCGCTGGAGGCGGCGGGTGGACGCCGGCCTCTGCCGCGCTCCTCTAGCGCTCTCTGCTGACGCGGCCGCGCATTTTTCGTCACTCGCCGCGATGTGGGAAGGGGCGGCGAAAAGGCTCGCCCCGCCCGGATGCTAAGCCCCGAGTCCCTGCAGAAGTTTGGGCATAAGGATGAGAGGTGGGGAAGAGTAACTTAAAAACGGAATGATCGTCGAAAGAGGTTGTGAGGACTGGCCACACATCCGATGGTCATCCTTGTTTGGCTGAGGGCATTTTCTCTTGCAGAACTGTAAGCTGGAAGCCGAGAGCGCCTTTTGACTGAAAACATCCCGGGAGGCAGGGAAGGCGAGAAGAGCCCAAACCAGGGAATTAAGCCAACGATGATCCGGCTTCCGGAGCTTCTGACCAGTCTGGTCAATACTGTTTGAAATCAGTAAAGCTTTTTGTCTGAGACTTTCTTCTCTGTCCGTGTCGGAATCCGAATCCTTTGGGAACCGCTGGTAGGTGACTTCTTTCCCCACTTAGAAGGCAGAAGAAAGCAAGGGCGCTAAAAGAGACTTAAGCTGAATTTCCAATGTCTGTAGAATAACAGCAGCAGGAGTGTTTATTTCCTTTCCCTGTTTGTTTTTTTTAATCCAAAATGCTGTGATTCTGAAGATTCTTCAAGGAAGTGTATTGCCGAACAACTGATGTTTTTTTTTAAAGATCCAAAACAAATACACCAGCGAGTAAAGAGATTTTTAGCTTTATTGTTTACTTTAGCAAGTAGATTTAAACAGAAACAAAAGAGCGCAACATCCCAAGCAAGATGATAACAATTCTCTGTTCAGTTTTCAGGAGCACCAGTAGAACAGCAGCAGAGATTATGAGAAAGCCCACTTTAATCCATTTAAATTCATGTATTGTTTATTATTTACACCTAATTATAGCTTTGATATTTTGTAACTAATCTACTAGTTAGGCATATATGATGACACTAGAGGGAAGCCAGACTATCTATCTACCTTTGTATTTAGGAATGCCTACCCGTACTTCTCAAGGTGATAGCTAAGACCTTGGCACACAATTACTTATGATGGAAATGCTAAAACCCCCTTTCCCTAATATCTTTATATTAAGAAACTAAAACATAAAAGCAGATAGGCCTTGGTGCTTAGTAACCTGCTAGAATGGTCAAGAATGCTTTCAAAAGTCAAGTAATCAGGGCTTGCTCAAGTGAAACCCCAGGCATATCATAGGTTTGGGAAAAGAAGAACTTGGGGACTATGTACTAATTATGATATAATGCGTTGATTATTATTGGAAATTAGCGACAAATGTGCTGATCACTGAAGCTAGGTAAATATTTGCTGAAAAATAAGAAATTACTTGCTGAACTCAACATGGATAAGACCATAGGATGATCTAAGGCAGAGGTTCTCAACCTTTTTAATGCCGCAACCCCCAACCGGTCATAAGTCAAGGACTACTCAACTGGTGCAGCACCGTTTGCAGAATGGGACTTTTGGCAGACTCAGCAGGGCAGAAATAGCCTGGACAATTCCTATTGGCTTTTGAAAGCTAATAGAATTAGACTCTATTCAAGAGAGTCTATTCTATTGGCTTTCAAAAGCCAGTAGAATAAAAGGGAGTAGCACAGCTAAGGAAAAGGGGGAAAAAATGGCGGACTGCGTTGTTTGGCGACCCCTGTGAAATGGTCGTTCAACCCCAAATGGGGTCCCGACCCACAGGTTGAGAACCACTGATCTAAGGGGTTGGTTTAAGGTGGGCCTATGGAGAAGTAACTAAAAGTTGTACTATATAAGGAGTGGTCTTTACACAGGCCTATTGAGAGTGATCCCCCTGTGTCCTTTTCCTGCAGAGAATAAACTTTTTTGCACTCTCCACCTCACTGTGTGTTTCATTGGGGGTGGCACACTGGATACAAACCCAGCTTTCTGGGACAATACTTAAGAATGTTTGTTAGTGCAGGAATGTTATTGATAAGATAAAAGCCTTATTATACCTTTCAACCTTTAGTTGAACTATGTTACTGTGGAAAGCCCCCCCCCAGAAAATGAAATATTTTGGGGAATATTAAAAGAAGCAGAATATTTCCCCTAAAGGAGAAGAGGAGAAACATGTTCTTAAAGGCAGAAAGCCCCAGTCTTCCTGCTATAGGAAAAAATAGTCCCAAGCATAAGCCTGAAGTCTTTAGATATGGAAATTTCTAAAGCCAGGCCATCCCATTCATCAACAAAAGGCCTTCAGCCACAGCTCCCATGAAAGCTAGAGCTGATGGGATTTGCAAAAACAAAGGCTCCTAAAATCTACATTCCCCACCCAGCTCAATGGAGGGGGCATGATCTCCCAGCCACAATGGGAGTCAGGCAACAATAATTAGAATTTTTATCTAACCTCCCCTCCCCCTCCCACCAGCAGTTCCCTCCCAGTGACTCTGACCTGATGTAACCTCTCCACCACAAGACTCATCACAAGCCTCTCACTGATGACTGACACCTGACCTATCCCCCTCCCACCAGCAGTTCACTTCCACATCACAAGAGTCATCACGAGCCTCTCACTGATGACTCATACTTGACCTATCACAAGACCCTCACTTGACATACCCACACCTGAAACCCTTATAAACATCACTGACTGCTGAAGAAGTTACCTATCCTGGTAACAAAACATTTGGAAACCAACCCCCAAGCTCCGAGAATGAACCTTCTTCACCTTCAGTAATCTTCTATATATTTATATTTATTATATAAATAAAAATGTAAATGTTCGTTTGTTCAAAATCTTAAATCTCCAAAAGTTCTTCACAGATTGTTTTGAAATTTTGATACAATGTTGCATTCGAATATGCGCATGTTTTTATATACCTACTATTATATAGATGTCACACCTGTGATAGGTAAAAACATGCTTTTGTGAAAAACAGCGCCATCTGTTGGACGTAAAAGCAACACATGCTATGATTTCAGACAATCTCTATATCTGCACAGACAATGGAACAACAAAAAATATTGTATACCCACAAGCATTGTGAAATTAAACATATTACAAATGTGTGCTTTCTCTTTTCTTTCTTTTCCATTTAACCAGACTGAGCCACAGCAACAGTTGGCTGGGTACAGCTAGTTATAATATAAAATGGCACACTCAAGCACTGGTCAAAGTACATTTCACAACAAACAGGCATTTCAATCACAAAGCTGCAAAGCATATATAAAACCCCTACCTACTCTCAACTCCATTTTGTCAGCAACCCCAGAAACATGCTTTTGTCATTAGTTTCTGGCTACAAAATAAATAGAGATCTTCTTTTCTGCAGCCAGCCTCCATTTTCTTTTCAGCGTCTTTCTCCTGGCTTGGAACCTGATTTGATTTTTCTTCCCATATTACTATAACTACTAAGAATGTATATATGATGTTGGTTTTCATGATTGGTTTATAGAGATATTCAAAATTGTGTCACTCCAAAGTAGTGTCAAAAGAATTGGGGGGGGGGGCTGAACTGAGCTGGGGTTGCACAAGAACAAATCACAATGAAATCAAACACTGTTTGAAAGGGGAAAAGTTTATTTTGAAGCATAAAAGACAGCACTCAAAGGTATCAAAAAAGCAAAGAGAAATAGTTAATGTACCAGGAATTATTGGAAAAGCATTAAGGAGAATATGAAATTAAATCGAGAGCATTTAATGATAGAAGAATATGGTAGTCAATAGTTTTTCCCATTTACAGTCATCAAAAAGATTTAAAATGGATAAGAAGATATATGGCAGTGATAGCAAACCTTTTAGAGACCGAGTGCCCAAAAACTGGCCCCGCCCCCACTCCACCCCGCCCCCACCATTCCGCCTGCCCACAGGGGCCACTTACCACCTCCAGGGCCCGCCGCAGATTGCCCAGGCAGCCCAGCAGCACCATTGCAGCCATGCTCTCTGCCTGTGCCCCGCAGCATCAACTGTGCACGATGGGGTGTGAGGGCAGAGTCTTGTCTACATTGTCTGGCTGCCATATCCTTGGCTGCACTGCTCCGCGCGGGCCACGCTCAGGGGCGACTCTCCTCCTGCTGGTTAGGAGGGGGTCACAGGAGGAGGCAAGGCTGGGGCAATGGCCTGTGTGCCCACAGAGAGGGCACCAAGTGCCGCCTTTGGCATGCGTGCCATAGGTTCGCCATCACTGATATATGGTATCAAGCAAAGTAAGGCAGAATTTGCCACCTATCAACCGAGGTGGCGCAGTGGTTAGAACGCAATATTGCAGGCTAACTGACTGCTTGCTGCCAGGAGTTTGATTCTGACCGGCTCAAGATTGACTCAGCTTTCTATCCTTCCGAGGTTGGTAAAATGAGGACCCCGTTTGTTGGGGGAAATATGCTGACTCTGTAAATTGCTTAGAGAGGGCTATAAAACACTATGAAGTGGTATATAAATCTTATTGCTATTGCTATTGCTAAAACTTTTGTTGAAATTTGGAATGGAAGAACTGATTTAAAAAGTATGATAAGGTGGGCTAAGAATTTTGGTTATAATACACAGATGTCTCAGTAGGAAAGTATGTGGTCAAAAGGGTTGAAATTTATATTATGATCTTAAAAACAATTTTTATAAAATGATGTATCATTTATACATGATGCTAAAGGAATTATCTAGAATGTATAAAGGCATTTCAAATGTATGTTAGAAATGTAAACAACATGAAGGGACATTATATCATGTTTGATGGACACGAAAAAAGAATTTTTCAATTGAAATTCATATAGAGGATTTTCAATAATCGAAGTCAGACATTTTCCTTTTACAACTAATGGATAACTAGTGAAAAAATAATCATGGACGATTATTTCAATGTAATGATAGAGCAATGAGATTCCTATATGCAAAAACATGGAAAGATTTGGCATT